CAGCAGGCGATGAAAACTCTCTGTTTGAGGATTAAGACTGTTATAGTGACTGACACATGAAGACCACACAGCGGGACACATCAGCGAGTGTCAGCATTAACAAACACACTTACAGATGAGGCCAGAATGAGAAAAACAGAAAGATGACCAATGCTAGTAACATTACACAACACTAGAAAAATGCTGGTTTGTTGTAACCCAATCGGTTTAAATGCATACAAACCCAACATTGGGTTAACAGCTTAAACTACACTAAAATGACACCTTTAAGCCTAACAGTTAATTGTAAACTAAAGTATACCTTTATTAATGGTTTCGTATTTTGAGATTCACAAGTGTTTATTTACAGTAGTGAATTGCATTATGGGATGTTAATCTCTGCTCTGGAGACTTTTGCTGTTGAAAATTCAACTCTACAGTTTAACAAAGTGACTTTTATTGATGTTTTAGTAGTTTGAAATTATATTTTGTATAAGAAACAATATACAGAGAGATAAGTGTGTAAAATAACAGAAATAAAGATGAATGTCTTTGATGAATGTTCCTAAACTAAACCTTCTCCAGAGTGCTCAGGACCTCTGACTGGGTTAAAGATTTATCTTTCAACAAGACAATGACCCAAAGCACAGAGCTAAAATAATGAAGGAGTGGCTTCACAACAACTCTGTGGCTGTTCTTGAATGGCCTAACCAGACCCTTAACCTTAACCTAAGTGAAGTTTGTTTATAAATTAATTTCGAGAGGATCACATGCTTATGATTTATCACGGCCGGTCTCGTATTGGCTAATCATTATCTTCCACTTATATGAGCCCTAAGCTACTATAAAGAACCACAGTTTTCAATCCACTTTATCTTCGTTTGGAAGAAACCCCCCTTTCTCCCCAATTCTCCTCCTTTACCATTGATCGGGTGGCACGGCGGCCCAGAGGTTAGCACTGAGAGACTTACAGCAAGAACACTACCGGCCTAGTTTCGCCTAGCCGGTAGGCGTTTCTGTGAGGAGTTTGTATATTCTCCCTGTGTCCGCGTGGGTTTTCCCCGGGTTCTCCGGTTTCCTCTCACCGTCTAAAGATATACATCATGCATAAGACTCAAGCACTCGTTTAGCCCCCGTTCTCATGTGTTTCCTTGGCTACCGCAGCCGGGGAGTTCTGAGATCCACCGAGCTCAGGCTCCTCTCTAGCTCTGCGAACGGGGGGAAGCCCCGGGCTCGAGGATCCCTTGAGCTCTGGGCTCTCTCCCGGGACAACATGCCAAACAAGCTTTGATGGATCATCAGCTAAGTGTGAACTCTGGAATTGAGCATTTCTGAAGAGACCTAAAAACGGCTGTCCACCAACGTTTACCCTCCAACCTGACAGAACTGGAGAAGATCAGCAAGATGGAATGGCAGAGGATCCCCAAATTCAAGTGTAAATAAAAAAAACCTTAACTTCTTTCCCAAAAAGACTATGTGATATTTCAGTTTTCTTTTTTAATAAATCTGCAAAAATGTCAACAATTCTGTATTTTTCTGTCAATATGGGGTGCAGTGTGTACATTGGTGAGAGAAAAAAAAAACTTGAAAGATTTTAACAAATGGCTAAAATTTACTTTTAAAATCAAAAGTTGAGGAAGAATTAGCGACCCATGATGAACTCAAAAGCACAAATAAATAAAAACAAAAAAGGTTTTTATTGAATTTTTCTAAACATTCTATCACAAAACAAACACAAAACGTAAAACTGGCAACTTAATGGCATCTTTTTGTATATATTTGTTTAAATCTGAACTAGCATTAGTTTACAACAACCCAGGATTTTTATTTACAGGCAAGTATATAGTAATTAAGCACACTAAATATAACACTATGGGCTGTAATTTAACGATCTAGGCACAAAGTCTAAAGTGCATAGCACAGAAGCCTGTCCGAATCCACTTTTGCTATTTTAAAGATGGAAAAATATGCTCCGTGTCCCGGCGCATGGTCTTACAGGTTTGTGCTTATTCTCTTAATGAGTTCTGGGTATATTTTGAGCATAACGTGCATTAAACCAATCAGAGCCTCATCTCCCATTACATTAAAGAGTTTATTTACTATTTGCTATTTACATGGCAGACTTTGTAAGTGGAAAAACAACGTATCACTATCGAGAAAACAGTAAAAGAGAGCATCTGCAGCGCAAGGATAAAGAACGAGCCTCCTCCATTCAGCCTCTTTACTTTACTTTTACTCTTTACTCCTTTACTTTGGTGGAGTAAGGAAACGGTGGAAACTCACTCCACTGAACACATCCATTAGCCTACATATTTAATTTTGTCTGTAAAGCACAAAGATTTGTTTCAAACCTATTTCTAAATTCAGTTCTAATTTCCAGCAAACGAATAAATGAACAAAAATAATGTAAAGTGGTCAAACAAGTTACATCCAAACACACGTCCTGTTCTTCTTTCCCTCATGGTGATGCAGACATCTCCAAAACCTGACAAGTACACTTGATTTTATTTGTCATTTTAATCCTTTAATTGTTTTCATCTGTAAAGATATTTGTGTATTGCTATACATCCTGTGTGTAAGTGTTTGGACCTGCTCTGCGCTGGACTTTAGAGCAGCTTTTAGTTGGTCAACGACGTGGTCTATTTCAGTTCCTCAAAATAGTAACACACCAACAATGCACCTTAACACTACTTCTTTCTATACCGGCACACCCATGAGTCCACAAATCAGCGCAAATGGATTTGCTATTTAAACAACGTGGTGCAAAAAGATGAAAATCACTGTTGTGCTGGTCTGAAAATAGCAACAAATCATGCCATGTTTTGCGCCTTATTCCGCCAGGTAAGATAGGGCCCTATATCTTTGATGAGACGCAGTTCAGCTAGTTTCTGAGGGGTCTCTTCAGGAAAAGCACTCACAGAAAGAGGAGCGTGTTGACAGGTGAACAGGAGGAGCGTGTGAATGTATCTGTATTTGTTGGTTTTGTCCACAGGGGTCGTTGAAACAGTTGGACAACCTTTGTATTTCTCCTTATTCTGAGAGTTCATTCAAAAACCACATGCGTTTTTAGGATCTGCCATTCTGGATGCTCATCATAAGCAGTTTTCTTGTCATTTTCTAAAATAGTAGTGTTTTGAATTTAATAAATGCATAATAATGGTGATAACTGCGAAACCATGTTCACTTTTCAGACTATAATCCTACAACCAAAATCTATAATCATTGCATCCCTAATTGTTATGCAGCTTAAAACATAACATATGAATGTGTTTAAATGTAGAAGAAGCCTACTATGTGCAGTCAAATATGGAAGGAGTTCCATTGGAAGATGAAGATGAGGTTTTTCAGAGTTCCATTAGTGGTCGCCAAATTCAATAGTTCGATACAATTATCACAATGCTGAAGAGATTGTGGAGAAGCGGAAGACTATGTTAACATATTTTGGTAATGTCCCAAAATACAAGTTTATTGGCAGGAGGTTAACAGAGAGATTAGAAAAGTTTTAGGATACGACATACCAATGCACCCAGTATTATTTCTGCTTCCCCCCTGATCAATTCAGTAAGTCTCACCTATTCGCGCTACATATGTTATTAATAACAGCTAGGAAGATAATTACAGTGAACTGGACAAAGACCCGCCCACCTACTTTGACAGAATAGATAAAAAGGTTGAAACAGATATATTTACACAACAGTTCTGTCTGGTTCTCGAATCTGATTGGCTGATAGCCGTGATATATTTAGGCAATATCAGCACCCATACAGCCTCTTTACCCTTTGTGTATTACCCCGCCCACATACAGCCAGCAACAAGCAGACACTACAGATCTAAAGTGTCATTAGAATCTTTAAAAGATGATTGCTCAGCTGTTTAACTGTCAGCTTATGATTTGAATCCAACGCGGAAGGAAGTAGTTCATCATGCAAAAGGGTTTTTGAGACTCTATCAAGTTATCGCACTGCTACTCGTGTGATATTGCTGATATATATAAAAACAAATGATATTTAGAAAATGACTGCAGATTTGGCAGCTGAAATCAGACTTTTTCCAACAGACCAGGGCATTAATCGAAACATACTTACTTGATTTTTGAAAGGCTGTCAGTATTTATGTATTTGTTTATTCCCCCCACCCATGCTTTTTTTCTTTTTTAAGCTGTCACTATTATTTATGCATTATTATAATTTATATCTACTATTATTTTCTATCCATGTTTTCTTTTTCCGAGATTGTAAACATTCTAAGTTAAAGTTATTTGTATACTGTTTTTGAAAACTTTAATAAAAACACAGTTAAAAAAAAAGAAGAAGCCTACTTGAGCAATGCACTGCTTTTTTGCACTTTGAAATACAACATTTGAATACGTTTGTAAAAAAAAAAAAAAAAAAAAAAATGAGCCATATTATACAATGTAGTGATGTTATGTAGTTTCAAAATACAACAAATTAACGTTTGAATGTAGAAAAAGCTAACGTTGGTGTCTTAAGGAGCAAAAGTACAGCATATGGGCTCTTATATGCTGTTATGTCATCACTTATATTGCAAGTCATATCTCTCCTGCCCCTCATTTGGGATGCTTTTCATGAACTGGCCCTCATGACAAACTAATTAAATAGCCCTGATGTAATGTCTTTACAAAATTATACAAAAAATATTAAAATGTTCACCTTTTTACTCTTTGTGGACTGGGAAAAAAAGTTAATCACATCACATTAGGAAAAAAAAACAAAAAAAAAAAGATTTTTTTTTTTTTTTATATATATTTCGCAATATTTGTTTTGTTTTATTTTTGTACTGCCTCATCCAAGTATGAGCAAGTATGAAGGATATGCCTTCACATAAACAACTAAAACTGCCTGATTCCTGCCAGAGTCAAGCAGGTGGAGCAGATCGAAAACATTGCGAAAAGGCGTTTTATTGTTTACTTTTTAATGCACCTCAGCGATGGCTATTATTCATGCTCAAGAGGGCGGAGAAATGGGTGGAGTCACATAACAACAAGAGGGAGAAAGAGAGAGAGAGTTTTGTTCAGTGTAAGTTAAAGACGTCTCCCTCTAAATCACTCTGACACTGAGACCGATGGTTTAACAGCAAGCAGAAAGAGCAACGTTTGGACACAAACACATGCTGGAACAAACTTAAACTGCACTTTAACCACAACTGGCACACAATGAGGCTGTCACCGCATGACAGAAACAGGAGACTTTCTGAATGAACAAGAGTGAATATCAGAGGAAAGGACAGTAGAGATGATTTTCAGTTCAGGAATGACAGCATCCAACCTGCCGGCAAAGAGACTGAAAGGATAAAGCAGACAGAACGAGAGGAAGAAAAGCACAACTCTATCCTGGTAAGAGAAGTTTTACCTGGAAACAGCATCTATAACTGCTTTAAATATGAGTATTACATTAAAAAAACATTAATAAATCCTATTAGTAAAACCAAATTACGTGTATATATTTTTTATATATATATATATATATATATATATATTTTTTTTTTTTTTTGAAGATTCTAATATTTCCCTGTTTTAATGGAGAAATTTTATCCAACATATTTTTAAACATAATTGTGTTAATAACTAGCTTATAATAACATTTCTTTTGTCTTTGCCATGATGACCGCACATAATGTTGTATTAGTTAATTTGCAAATTACTAGTATTAAGTTTAAAGTGTATATCTAAAGGCTTTGCTAAGTTAATTAGGCAATATATGGTAATTAGGCAAGTCATTACGTCCTTAAGAAGGCAAGTCATTTAAGACGGCTAATAATATTATCCTTGAAAATTTGGACATTTTTATTTAAAAATTCCAGCCAAACTAAAAGACACAAGACGCGCTTCAGAAGAATATTTTAGAAAATTCATTCATTTTCTTTTCAGCTTAGTCCCTTTATTAATCAGGGGTCACCACAGCGGAATTAACCGCCAATTTATCCAGCATATGTTTTACGCAGCGGATGCCCTTCCTGCTGCAACCCAACACTGGGAAAATTTTAGGAAATACTGTATATAATTATTAAAAAGCTGGTCGAATGTGCATGAGACTTTGTTAATTTTTACTTCTCTGCCACACATGGAATTGTTAGATATGCAGTTTTTGTTTCCATAACTGTAAAAATACTTACTCTAAGAGCAACTGCATTTATTTATTAAATATATGTCCAAATATAAGCATTGTTAGACATTCACAAGATGTGTTTTTTTTCTGCTTTTTTAAAAAGTGTACAATTGTAAAATGTTCATAGTTTTATGACCCCCAGATTAGATTACCTTGAATACAGATATAATCGATGTACACTAAAAAAATGCTGGGTTCGTGGCGTCATGGTGGAACAGTGGGTAGCATGATCACCCCACAGCAAGAAGGTCACTGGTTCGAGCCACTGCTGGGTCAGTTGGCATTTCTATGTGGAGTTTGCATGTTCTCCCTGTGTCATCCGGATGCTCCGGTTTCCCCCACAGTTCAAAGATATCCACTATAGGTGAATTAAATGAGCTAAATTGGCCGTCGTGTATGTGTGTGTGAATGCAAGAGTGTATAGTTGTTTCCCAGTGTTGGAAGGGCATCCGCTGTGTAAAACATATGCTGGATAAGTAGGCGGTTCAGTCCGCTGCGGTGACCCCTGATTAATAAAGGGACTAAGCAAAAAAAAAAAAAAAAGATTGAATGAATGACAATGCTGGGTTCCACACAATTCCTTCATGTCTTCCCAACACAAATCTATTAGGTTAACTTAATAGTTTTTAAAAATGTAAGTGGACTGAGCATAAAACAAGTCATCAAAAATACTTCAGAAATGTGTTGATTCAGCTCATTTTAAACAAGTCATTTGAACAAGCAGCAAAAGTCATTTTTTGAGTGCACATATGAGCTTCACCAGACAGCTTGAACAGCTCTATTTAGAAAGTATTCATTAATTTAGATTGATTTGGGATTCTTCTGAAGTGGAGTGAATCATTCATAAAATAAATTAAATATACAGTGCTTTCTGGTTTTCTGGGGAGTCTAATGGTATTCATTTAATAAAATTGAAACCAATCTAATTCAAAATAATGCTAAAGTCTTCATTCTATAAATAATCCAATACAATCCATCTTTAATCAAGTTCCAAAAGGTACACTAGCTTGTGTCTGAATACTTTAAACTCTCTTGTGCCTGAATACAGTACTTACACAGTCACAAGCCTTAAAGATACCTGCAAATGATAAACTCTCACTCCATTATAGTTAAACTCTGCAGTGACTTCAAATATAATCAAGAATATAAAGTCAACATTGCACATTCTGCGATGTGACTACTGCGGATGCGCACATTGTGATATCAATGCTGAAACAATATACTGTGCAGCCCTAACATAAATATATAAAAGCAGAAAGAGGCACAATTCTCTCATCAAAGTGCGTTGAATCCAGTGCTGATGAATGCGCACGTGAGGAATGCTCCACATGGAGAGTTTGCATGTCAGATACAATCACACTTTCCACAGACACAATTACAGCATGAACTCTGGATCAGACTATTATTACATTTACTTTCTGACTTTCTCTTAAAGGGACAGCTCACCAAAACTGAACATTTACTGCCTCTCAAGCGGTTCCAAACCTATTTGGCTTACTTCCGTTGAAGACAAAATATGTATTTAAAAGAAAGCTGGAACCATTTACATATTGTTTGTTTTTCCTACTATGAAAGTCAGTGGTTACAGGTTTCCAGCTTTCTTTGAAATATTTCCTTGTGTGTTCGACAGATGAAAGAAACTCAAAGGTTTGGAACCACTTGAGGGAACGTAAATAGTAAGTAATTTTTTGTGTGTGTGAACTATCCCTTTAAACTAATCAGTTATGAGACTAGAAGATTATTATTTTATTATATTATTATTATTATTATTTAGCATGATCATTATTTTGAATGTCAGATATTTTGAAGTTCAGATTTGTGAACTTGAGCGATTTGCATGGAACGCGCACTAAGTGCGTCAAACGCGCAAAACACTCTACGCGCCGTGCCCTTCACGCATTTCGTGCCATTCGCACCACATCATTCACGCAAATCGCATCATTCGCGCCGCAGGATGTCTATTCTCACGTTTGCATCGACTTTACATGTAAATCACTCGTGCTTGATCCGCCTTCCACGTCTAGTCTGAACACAGCATAAGTACCAATTCTCGGTATTAACTACTGTAGTGTCTTATTGCCTGTAAATTATTAGGATATTGTGTGCATATTAATTCTTACAAAGCACATATTCTGAATGATTTTATTCTAAAACACTTAAGGCTGATTTATATTACTTCATCAAGCGCACACGTATGCTCCGGAGCAGCCTACGTGTGGACAAATAGCCCTCGCCGTGGCCAACGCTGACGCGCACCTCTATGTCATTACATGCCACAACGACACGTAGCCTAACTTGGTAGTGCTGACGAGTGTGGGTGGGAACGAAAGCCACGCGAACCTGTTGGAGCGAGTGTTTACAAGTGTGGAGTCCTGTAAAGGAGCTCCAGATGAAATGTTTTGTTTTGTGTTTACCTAATGATTAAAGTTGTTGCACGTCCTCCGGTTCCCACCTCAACTTCTACATTAAGGTAGCATTCAGAAAAAACAAAACACCACCGACGAAACTCGACACAGAGGAACATTAAAACCTCACTGCGAGCTAGCGTTTCGGAAGTGTTATTGCAGGGCAACACACACAGCACTTAGAAGTATAAATGCAACATGCAAGGCATGTGCCGTGGGTCACATCGATCACTCAACGCATGAAGTATAAACCAGGCTGAACCAAACACTCAAGACTTTTCCCAGCTTGTTAAAACTACAAGCTGGAAAAAGTTGGAGTGGGGGGGATGGGCAACCTAATCACTTTATATTCAAACCACTCAAATTAGTAAAGATTTAATCAGTAAAAATTTATGAGTTCTCTTAAATGATTTAAGTTGAAGAAGTTGTTTGGATTTGTGCTATTAGTAAGCAGCAAGTTGGGATTTTATTGAGGTAAAAGTCATAGAAAATTGGTCCTTATAATGAAGTTTACCCCCCAAAAACACCCTCTCTTTTTCATAGCAAAGGTTTGCATTTGCTAAGAGGATCCTGAGTGTTTGCGAGTCTTGAAAAGCACAGGGATTTACTGAAGATGATCCAGAAAACTGGATCAAACAGAAAAGCTGAGATCCTGCTGACATCAGCAGCTCGAGAAGTTCACAATGACATCACAGACTGTTTTAAATAAAACAAGGCAGATTTTGATTTCTGAACTGTTACGTAATGCTGTATTCAGAGAGATTAACACACAACAGCAAAACAGATCTATGTGAAACCATGTTGGCAGTGACAAAAAGACACAGCAAGACTTTAATGGGAAAAAAATGACAATAAAATAAAAATAAAATGTGCATTTATGAAGTGGGCCTGACAAACCACATATAGAAACACTCTTCTCACTATAAAAAAATAATAATAAATGATAAAAACACTAGCACTCTAGACCTTAATGCTTCAATAGTTTCTTTGTTTAATAAGTAATACAATTTTCTGTTATGAAATTCATGACATATTCATAATGACTTCATGATGATCATGTTTATGACAGCTTTATGACATGTTATGTTGTCTTGGTAACATCAAATTGTCATGACAAATATGAAGATGTATTTGTTTATGTCGAGTGTCATCTTTACATTTAAAATGTCATAACTGAGTAAAAAGTCATCATAAAATCTCTGTCATATAAATTTCAAGTTTTCATGACACCACTTCAAGTAAAGTGTGACCACATGTCTTAACTGTTTGAATTGTATATATTAAAGTAAAATTTTACACATTTTTAATTTCAGCATTTTTTTGTTCAGTTGGTTTTTCAATAATAATAGCATTATTTCCCGTGTTTCCCATAATTCAACAGTCCATCCCTATTTTAGTGTACAATACACAATTATGCTAAATTGACAAAATTATGAATTTGACAATTTCATTTATTTCTTATTATTATATTAAAGAATTATTATTCTTTATTGTATAAAGGTTTAGACATGAAATTTACACTTTATACATAACACTTTACACTTTATAATAAAATTTTTTAAACACCATTTTAATATCAAAATTATTAGCCCCTTTAAGCTATTTTTTTTTTGATAGTCGACAGAACAAACCATCATTTTACAATAACTTGCCTAATTACACTAATCTGCCTAGTTAACCTAGTTAAGCCTTTAAATGTCACTTTAAGCTGTATAGAAGTGTCTTGAAGAATATCTAGTCAAATATTATTTACTGTCATCATGGCAAAGATAAAATAAATCAGTCATTGGAAACGAGTTATTAAAACTATTATGATTAGAAATGTGTTGAAAAAATCTGCTCTCTGTTAAACAGAAATTGGGAAATAAATTAAAGAGGGGGGCTAATGATTCTGAATTCAATTGTATCTAAAAATGGTTAAATTAAGAAGAATTTTATAGACTACAACAAAAAATATTGTCTTATTTTAAGAAATAATAAGTCAAAATTTTTTCCTTTAAAAGGGGTGAGCAAAATAAACTTGTTTTCGTTTTGACCCAAGAATATTTTGTTTACGCATTGGCAGATTATTCTGCTCATTTTAAGGAGAAGCTCACTTAATTTTGACTCATGATTTCTGAAAAGAAGTCTATATTTTTTGTTGTCTATAAAATGCTTCTTGATTTAGTAGTTTTCAGATGTCTGCACCAGAAATAAGACAAAAAGCATTTTTTTTTTTGCAGTGTAAAACAACAACAAAACATGAATACAATGCAAAACGAAATAGAAATGTCTCAATTCTAAGCAGACGGTGGGCTTGTTTCCAGAACCAACGCCAGCACAAATTCACAACAAGAAGTTAAGTTTAGTTATGTAATTTAAAAGATACATGATTCATAGAGCATGTTTGTAGCATTAGAATACAAATCCTCGCTGAGGGTCTTGAGCAATCCTGTTTATATTCTGCTGATTTAATTATGTTTTTCAGCAGTGATGATTCAAGGCTATGAATGTTTGTTGGTGCATTCAGTTCAAGACACAACACAAAGCAGTTCAGATACTAAAATAAATCAAACTCACTGCTTTTACTTCAGTAGTGCTTTTACAATGTAGATTGTGTCAAAGCAGCTTAACATAGAAGCTCTTTTAGATTGAAACCGTCAGTCCAGTTTTCAAAGCTGAAGTTCAGTTCAGTTCAGTTCAGTGTGGGTTAATTTCCACTGAAATTAATTTGCTCACTGAAGAGCAAATCTATTGATGAGCAGCTCAACAAGTCCTAAAACCAGTAACGCTGTCTGCATTGTGCCATCCTTGTTGACCAGAGAATAGACCCGCAACCCATTTGCCAACAAGTCAGGTCAATCCAGCATGTCTGCAAGAAAATCAACTGCTGGAGATCGCAAATGGCGGCAGCCTGTTAGGGTCCATTTGCATATTGTGTCTTTTATAGAGTTTGCACAGGATCGTTATTTCCAATGGAGGGACGCGACCTGTGTGCGCAAGCGGCTGTGCTCGTGCCCTCCAGAATGAATGCCACAAGTGCACCGCGAGTCGCGTGACAAGAACTGACTGTTCAGCTTCAGCTTATATGAAGCACACATTTCGGTAGACTCAGACAAACACGAACACCCAAACTCTGCAGTGCTTTGTAATTTTTCTCTATAAATAAAAGAGTGACAGCAATGTTGACAGTTGCCCAGCAACCTACAAATTACCGCCCAATTCCCACAACCCCCCTCGCCCTTAAAATTGTCAAAGCATTGACCGTTGAGGACCACTGCTCAAACCTAACCTGACTCCTATCCTAACAAACCAAACACCAACTGAAAGACCATTTACTCACTCAGAATAAATCTTAATTTTAAAATGAATTGACCCAAAAATGTAACTTATGACTGTTTTTTTTTTTTTTTTTTTAGGTAAAGGGTCCCATATATGCATTATACTATCAGTAAAACAACAGATTTAATGTTGGCCTAAAATGTTTGTGCAGTACTGTACATCACCTCCCTGTGCCAGCTCAGATTATTTTGAGTAGTTTTAAGCACAATAAAAGTCCCGCGTCTAATGAGCACAAAGAAAAACACACTGTAGCTATGGAAACTCTCTGTGTACACACACACACACACACACACACACACACACACACACACACACACACACACACACACACACACACGCACACGCACACGCACACACGTGATTGATTTTCCTATCCGTGAATTAGTGCATTCCAGTGGTGGGGTGTAAATCTATGACTCAGTCACAAATCCTGACGAAAAACATCCCTTTCCATGTGCTTTTCTGAAGCAGAACTCCAAGTTGCTAGCATGTGGATGTACTGTATTACTTAGCAATGGGTAAAGCCTTATAGTATTTGGGCTGACACTCTTGCTGTACTAAAACTTTGCAGACACTTTAGTTTCATCTTTGTTGTTTTGGGCATAATAAGAGTTTGTGGAACTTGCTAGAAAAAAAAATCAATCAATCTATCTGTCTGTCTGTATATCTATCTTTCTGTCAGTCCATATTTCAACATATCCATCCATCCATCTGTCCGTTTGTCTATCTATCCATCTACCTAATCATATCCGTCTTTCCATCCATCTATTCATCCACCTTTTTGTCTGTCTGTCCACCTATCCATCCATCCATCAATCCATCCACCTACCTATATGTCTGTTTGTATACTTATTCATCCATCTGTCCATCCATCTATTCTTCAACCTATCCATTCATCAATCTATTATATACAAAAAATGTTGCTTCACAAAGCCAAGTTCACAGAGCCCTGACAGTGTCAAACACTGAGTATGTTCAAATGGGCAACAACACTTTAATATGATTTTAATATGATTAAAACAATTTAAGAGTCTACCATGTAGACAGCGATTTTTGATCACCTTAATCCAACTAAAGTTATCACTGAACTAAACAGAAATGGAATTAAGACACGTGGAGGATGGCGATATTAGTGGCATTATAGAAGTAAACACCATGATCAAACTATTACAGTCATGTAGGACTTTTCACCATATTTGCCGACAAGATCCACACACACGGCTGTCAGTACAGGACCGCACACAAACAAACACACACACACATCGTGGAATGTTTTTTTTCCTTTCATTTGGCGTGCGTTATTAAATTCCATAACACTCTCACCAGTCCTTACTTCATATTTGCGTCTAATAGCCTGGTTTGTCAAGGGGGCATGAATGAAATGTTCATGAGTGAAGGTGAAACTGCCGAACTGCAGATAAAATCAGGCATCCTGCTGATTTGATTAAGAAGCACAATTTTTTGTCAGACGGCTCACCTTTTAGGTATACATCTGTGCTAAAATATCAAGGTAAAGGTCATCATAGCTTGCGTAGAACAGACCCAGCTCCCAACTTTGAGAATAGATTAATGGCGATGTTTTTTTATTGCGCGATAAGAGTTTAGTGTTAACACAGATAACGGCCCACCACTAATATATTTACATATACACACACATGGTTTCCACTACAATCATTCTTCTATGGCAGGGCGCCACGCGAAAATTGATTCTGCCACGGCTACATTACAGCTTTTCATTTAAAACATTTTATTTTTTTAATTAAGGGTTATAACCGCACCAAAATGTATAAAAGGTAAGTGAATTATAACAGCGCAAACTTTTTTTTGTAACCGTAGTAGTGCTGTGCGTCATTTGTTTAACCCTTTAAGGTTAGCCCACGTGCTGACTGACTGACTGACAGGTGCGTAATCTACGTATAGCCGTTTCACTTTACTTCAGGACGCATTAATACGGCTCTGTAAGTATTGGAGACATTCATAAATATATGAATAAATATATCAAATCTAATAAATGTTGGAGACATACTCATTACACAAACGCACTAAATTGCCCTTCAGAAGCATTTATTTGAGAGCACACAAGAAGATCTGTGCTTGAGAAGCGGATATTTGAGGGGGCGTCAATAAGTTGTGCACGAGCAGAGGAAATCAGCGCACAAGCAAAGAGATTTGCAGGCTCGTAGGCTATTACATAAATGCAATCTTGACTTTTAATACTTCGCTTATGACATTTGTCATTGAAATAATACCACAAGTAGATCTGTGTAAAAGAAAGGCCTGACACCACAGATACACATACATGCATACATTTATATTTATATAATATATGCATATATATATATATATATATATATATATATATGCATGCATGTATATATGTATGTATGAAAAACTACTGAGAGATTTCAGCTGCTGTCTGGGCTTTCACTGCCTTTCTACACCTCCCTTTTTCCATGTGTTCAATACTTTTCCCCTGCGTCATTTCTTGTTATTACACAGAACTTCATTTGTAAACTAATTAGTTTTGTTAGCTTTGCATATATGGATTTCTTTGCTTCTTACCAACATCCGGTAATAAGCTCAAGTCAACGGCATCTTTACAAATTTGTTTTCTGTAAAAACTAGTGACATGTTTAATACTTATTCCCCTCACTGTACTTCCTATGCATTCAGATTAACTTAAAACTTTATTTTCTATCAACAGAGTCGCATCCCAGAAAGCCATGACTGTCGTCGTCCTGAAGCGTTTTCTTCTGGCCCTGCTGACCTTAACTCTCTCCAGACCCGACTCTGTGTCACTCGGCTTCGCTGAGGAGTTCGAGAGCCGAGGAGATGTCCTCGAAAGCGAATTCATGTACGCCGGTCGCTCCAAACGCTCCCCCGAGCCTCCGAGCACCTCCGACACAGACAAATGCTCATACACCTTTATTGTTCCTCAAAGAAAGTCCACGGGTGCCATCTGCGTCAACTCCAAGGAGCCCGAGGCCCTGCTGGAGAACAGGGTAAACAAACAGGAGCTAGAACTACTAAACGGAGAGCTCCACAAACAGCGGCGGCAGATCGAAACACTGCAGCAGCTGGTAGAGGTGGACGGCGGGGTAGTCAACGAAGTTAAACTGCTTCGTAAAGAGTCGCGCAACATGAACGCAAGAGTCACGCAGCTCTACATGCAGCTCCTGCACGAAATCATACGCAAGAGAGACAATGCGCTGGAGGTTTCTCAGCTGGAGAACCGGGTTTTAAATCATACCTCAGAGATGCAGCAGTTAACATCGCGCTATCGAGATCTCGAACACAAATACCAACACTTAGCATCGCTCGCGAGCAATCAGAGCGCGGTTATCGTGCAGCTGGAGGAGCAATGCAGGAGAGGAGGATTTGTTGGAGGACGCCAAACTAGACCTTACCAGCCGCCAGTTGTTCCTCCACAGCCAGCGCAGACTCCCCAGCATCGTCAACCTCCACCTCCTCCGGTCCATCATTCGCCCGCCAGGCCTTTCCATCCACCCACTTACCCCCGACAAAACAACCAGATGACCAACGAAATCCAGAGTGACCAGAACTCTAAAGCAATGCCGTCGGCTTTACCCACCGAACAGTCTGAAACGCACAGCTTCTCTACTGATAAACTCTCAGGTGAGTGCTTTTTAGAGTCACCACATTAGAGTACACCCTCAGGGTTCTTGCACCATTTTAAAAGCAAAATTTAATGCTTTTTAAGACCTTTTTAAGACCTCAACAAATGTAATTTAAGACCCAAAAATTGTATAATATCTTTGGAATAGAGTGGAGGAACTATGACGTCAATTTGTATGCAAAAACCCGGAAGCGAGTTAGCATTTTAGCACTTCCGGTTCCCTCGTCCCAAAGTCAAAGGGTTTTTTGAATGGGGTTTCAGTAAAATCGCTTAAATAAGGTCCGTGGCAAACACAAATTCAAGATATTTTCACGCTTTGTTCTACGACATAAAACACATCAGTTACAGCACACTCTTGAATTTTTAAATCGGTAATGCTTCTTTAAAAATATGGTTGCTATCAAGTTGCTAAATGGGACTACAGGCGGTGTCGGAGACATTATACGTCATCGAACTCATCTGGTCTGGAGCGCAGCTCGCATGTGTTGGGCATTTGGATTTGTCTGTTATTTAGGGATTTTCATGAATAGGATTTTATAGTTTTTTTGTGTTTTTCTAATTAAGAATTCAGATTGTGTATAGATAATGCCTTCACATGTAAAGGCTGTCGAGACAGATTCATTTGTTGATCATTTATTTTAATTAAACTATATTATAAAGATACTGCTCACCAGTGCAACCTGTCTCTCTCCTGCCCTCAGTAATGCAAACGTGTGAATAAATGTGTAAAAATACACACATTTTAACTGTCGTTTTAATGTAATCAAGTGATTTTTCGTCTTTTTTTATTCATCTGAACACATTTAACTGCAATATTTACACTCCTCCATAAAACATTCAGCAGATGTGACTGTATGGGCTGCTTTCTGCTGTACATCGTGACATAAAAGAAATATTGAATGTTGCTCTGTGTCCATGATGATAGAACTTGCAGCCATTTGATAGACTTGTTCCTCCTCACGCCTCATTTCTGTCGTCTGTTGAGGTAAGCAGGCTGTGTGCGCGAGCGATACACTTATTTAAATATGTCTGATGAAAATACTACATAGGCAGATTTATACACGCAGTTTTAAAACTTTTAGAACAACCGCAAAGCAAAACAGATGTATTGCCCACGTAAAAACCATCCAAAAGGCACTTTTTGCGTATTTATTTGTTTATAATACATACCGTGGATTATAATATAATATACAGAGAGACTAACTCTTAGTCATGGACACTATTTCTAAAAATAAGCTTGATAAATTGTCTGTAGCAGGGTGGGGCTGACGTCACAGACGAGCGCCCCGAGGGCAGTGTAGTAGTTTTTAACTCTTGCGTTTGCATTTAAGATCCAAAAGTGCTCCAAGTTGTATTTTCGTGTGAGGATTATCCGGCTGGACAAAACCAGTAAGTGTCATGAACAGTGTTTGAACACAGAGCTTATTATTTGCAATCCTCGAAAAGCCTATGGGAAAATCCTATAGAGATTTTCAAGAGGGAACCAGTTTTATGCTAGCAGCCGATTAGCCTACAAAGTGACGTCATAGTTCCTCCACTCTATAGGCTACTCGTTTTAATGTTCTCGTTAGATTTAAATAAATTGTGCCTCGTCACAGTTTCTCAGTCTGAGTTTCAATGCAACCAAGCCCACGAGTCCACGCACTGCTGAAATGCATTAATAGATGAGAGAGTGACATACCTGCATAAAGCTTGGAAGGTGAACTTTCAACTCGTTTTAAAAACAAATGTTGTCTCGCTAGGTAATCCATAGAATTCTCCCGGCAGATCAAGCATCACGCCAGCTCTTCCCTTCCGCCATTATTAAAAACAATGACGAAAGCTGCCCCCACGCGTAAAAACAAAGACAGCATGCTGGCTAGAAAGTACACAACCACAAATAAAGCAGCGCGCTAGAAAGATCGTTACTTTTTTATTCCCCGGAATAAATTGAAATCGGGCAAATATTTTTTAAGTTTTATACATTTTCAGTTCTGTCACAGACTGTACTAGACACCAAAGAAACGTTTTCTCTGTAAATTATCCCCTAGCCCCAATTGCAGTTTTTGTTCTCACCAACAGGTGGGAACATTTATACATATGGTGTGGCAATGTGAAAAAGTGTATGAGTTTTGGGAAAAAACTTCATTAATATTATCTGAAATTATAGAAAAAGATGTACCAGTGCAACCAGTTGTGTTACTTTTAAATGATGATTCCAGTTTGGGTTTGACAGAGCGACAAAGAAAGGTGTTGTTGGCAGGACTAACGGCTGCAAAAAAGATAATTGCGCAAAGATGGCTCCCTCCGCATTCTTTATCTACTCGGCAGTGGCTTTACCAGTTTTATGATATTGTTAGAACTTTCAACAGCCAGAATTAATAAAGCTAGAGCCTCAACTCTTGATGCATGGAAAATGGCTGCGGACAAACTGGCAGAAAGACTCATGGATAAAAGACATTGTGCAACAACTTTGAATCTCTAAATCTCTGATAGTTTGTGTGATTATGTATTTACTTTTGTTTGTGTAAGGCTATGTGGATGGATGTCTATATGTACAGTTTTATTTTTTCTGTTATTTGTCTTGATTGCAATGCTATTGTGGGATGGCATGGACTTTGGCACCGCTGGGGGGTGGGTTGGGTGTTTTTTTTTTTTTTGTTTTTTTGGTGGGGGGTGGGGGTTGAGGAGTGGATTTTGTTTATTAAAAGGAAATTGTAAAGATGCTACATGCTACAACCACATGTAAAATCAAAATCAATAAAAAACTTAATCACAAAAAAAAAAGAAATTGGGCAAATATATATATATATATATATATATATATATATATATATATATATATATATATATATATATATATATATATATATATATATATATACAGATACATACATATATATACATATACATATATAATATTGAAAGCATCTGCTTTCATTGCCGTATATTTTGCAGACTCATCTGTTGCATGTGAAAACCAAATGTGTTGTGCACATGATAAAGTAGCTAGTCGCTATTTTTATAAAGCCGTGTTATTGATGCAGTGTGGGACATTTATTAGAACAGTGTTGTTAAGCGTGCATAAATCCGCTAAAATGAAGCGCATTAGTACACTGCTGGTGTTTGTTGTGGTCGGAAATCTTGCTAACTTCCAGTGGCGAGATTTAATCACGTGTTATGAAGAAAACAGGACACAAATGAATTTACAGGGGATGTACAGTGTGTTTTGGTGATATTGATTTCAGGAGAATGTGTATATAGATTTATAATGTCAACCACATAGCATCACCCTGTCATTTACCATCCATTCCTACAATGCATTTCATTCCTCCAGCCACATTTGAGCATCTCACAATGAGATATCCACATAGCAGAAACGTAAACAAAGCGCTTCCATCAAACCGCAGATTTCTCTCTGTGAAAGTTTGCCGTCTGGAATCCCCTCAATTATAGACTTTAAAGTGGTTCCTGAAGGGTTTTCCCTCCCAAGATTAATGTGCGCTCTTAGTTCAGAAGATAGTTTGCCAAATGATTGTGTTGTAATGGGAAGCAGGCCAAACTCCGCGCAGGGAAATCCACGTGTCTCCATGTTGCCTGTGTCAGTGAACTTCAGGGCTGTTTTCTTTGGAAGCGCACATGTAACCAAACCACTTAGGCGTTTCCATACTTATTTATCATACTCAGTGCGCAAAACACAATTCACCTCGTAAAACAGGAAGATTGCCCACTGCGTAATGTTTAGATGTTTCTCATTAGTCACGCTGGCAATGTTGCATGAATGTTTTGCCGTGTGTTGTGGAGAATTACGTCTTGCTATACTATTATATGAAAAGGGATAGTACTCTTTATTTGTTTTCAAACCTTCATGGGTTTCTTTCTTCTGTTAAACACTAAAAGAAGATATTTTGAAGAATGTTGGAAAATTGTAACTATCAATCTCCATAGTATTTGGTTTTTCTACTATGGATATCAATGGTTTCAGTTTTCAGCTTCCTTCACAGTGGCGGTTCTAGTTTAAATGGCACCCTAGGTGAATCCAGTATTTAATAGTAATTTCTGACTGACTCTGAGACACTGAAGTAACGTAATGACAAAAGCTTTAAACATAAGAATGAATAATATTTTAAACAATTACTTTAAATCAAAATAATATTTTAAGACTATTTATATATATATATATATATATATATATATATATATATATATATATATATATATATATATATATATAATAAAAACAACAGATGAGTCTGCGAAATATACGGCAATGAAAGCAGATGCTTTCAATATTAGTCATATATTACAAATTGAGTAAATATTATTTTGTCACACTTTATTTTGATGGTCTGTTTGTTGAAATTAAGTTACATTGCCTCTACATGCTAACTAATTCTAATTAGATTATAAGTAGACTGTTAGGTTGGGGTTAGGATTAGTGTAAGCTGACATGTACGGCAAAGTTTCTTATAGTCTGTTGAAGGAGCAGTATCAACAGATATTAAAGGGCACATAGGTTAACCCTTTATATATACTGTCATATTGGGGTGATATAAACACACCCAGTGCTTTTTTTTGTCAATTTAACAACATAAAAGCGGTGGACCAATTGGAGAGGTTTTCAGATTGAGTTTTGGATAGTCAACAGAACAAACCACTGTTATACAATAACTTGCCTAATTACCATAGCCTGCCTAGTTAACCTAATTAACCTAGTTAAACCTTTAAATGTCACTTTAAGCTGTATAGAAGTGTCTTGAAAAATATCTAGCCAAATATTATTTACTGTCATCACTTATCAGAAATGAGTTATCAAAACTATTATGTTTAAAAATGTGTTAAAAGAAATCTCTCTGTTCAACAGAAATTGGGGATAAATATACAGGGAGCGAATAATTCAGACTTCAACTGTACATGAAAATAAAAATAAACATTTATATAACATTTGACCAACATTAAAAACTGTGTTTTACAAGGCAACTCCTTTCTGAAAACATGCATATGCATATAAAAAAATTAT